GGGGGTACCGGGGTGTCTCCATCACCCTGAGGTGGTGACAGGGATGGTGGCAGGACCCTCCCCGTGGTCACTGTCCCTTTGCAGACACACCAGGCCAAGTTTGTGACGTGGCAATTCGACGGTGAGTACCGGGGGGACGACTGCACCGCCACCCTCACGCTGGGCAACCCCGACCTCCTCGGCGAGTCTGGTGAGTGGGGTGTCCCCATGTCCCCCACCCCGGCTGATGGGTCCCTGGTGGCTGAGAGCTGATGGCCTTGCTGTCCCCACAGTCATCCTGGTGGCCCATTTTCTCCAGAGTGTCACCTCCCGCCTGGTCCTGGGTGGGGAGATGGTTTATCACCGGCGGCCGGGGGAGGAAGGAGCCATCCTCACCTTGGCGGGGAAATACACGGGTACGTGGGTGCCACATGTTTGAAGGTGACACAGGCACGACCCTGGGGGTCCCACCTGCTGTGTCACCCCCTGAGGGGACACCCCAGCTTCCCTCTCCCCCCACTCTGCTTCTCTCTTCCAGCTCTGAAGTGGGTGGCGACGCTCAACCTGGGGTACGGTGGTGCCCACGCCAGTTACTACCACCGAGCCAACGAGCAGGTGAGTGTCCCCTTCATCTCCTTGTCCCCAACGTGTGTCCCTGTCCCTCTTTGGTGACTTCATTTTCTGTCCCCTCAGGTGCAGGTTGGGGTGGAGCTGGAGGCCAACACCCGCTTGCAAGACACCACCTTTGCCTTTGGCTACCAGCTCAACTTGCCACAGGCCAAAATGGTCTTCAGAGGTGAGCAAGGAGCCATCACAGCCACTTTTGGAACACTCACCTTTTGTGTGTCCCCCCCCAATTCTCAGGGCTCCTGGACAGTAACTGGAGTGTTGGGGGGGTACTGGAGAAGAAGTTGCCCCCCCTGCCCGTCACCCTGGCTCTGGGCGCTTTCCTCAACCACTGGAAGAACCGTTTCCACTGCGGTTTCAGCGTCATCGTGGGCTGAGGGACCGTGAGGACGGGTAGCACGTGCCACACCGTCCTGCTCAGGGAGCCACCGTGCCGTGGGGGGGCACCGGCTGCACCCCAAC